CCCCTCAGTGGAGCAGGTCTTATGCTAATATGGTGCCAATTAACGAGTTTTGGGGGAGGAATTTCAAAGCAGTAATTTTAAGTGTCAAAACATCAAAGACAGTTCAAAGAAACAGTCAAAACCTTTTGCTCTCCGTTACAGACTCCTTTCTTCAGGACAATGTGGTGACAAACTACGAGAGCCTGTGTTGCTCTTGTACTCTGCAGATCAATGTAATTTGGTGATGAGGGAAGCACAGTATTTTCCACAGAAAATCCACTTAATCTCAGGGTTTCGTTCTCTCCAACACTCTTACCTGATCTGGTTTCTTAGCTGAGTAACAGCAGTGTCTATTCTCTCTCTCTCTCTTCCCCCCACCCGAGGCTTCAAGTTTTGTCCATGGCAATGTTGCCTTAAGCAGTACTGACTCCCACGTGTTCCTGCTCTTGGACCAGCAGAACACTTCTTAGAGCAGCCTGAGGCTAATGTGAACTCCTTCAGCTGAGGAGATGTCAGGAGATGTCTCCACCAGGGAGAAGACATATAGAACCAAGTTTTCAAAGCAGGTCAGAGCAAGACATGTCAGAAAGCAACTAAAAAGAAGATCCTGAATCCCTTTTTTGTGTAAAAGTACTCCTCTTCACAGCAGAAGCTGGCCAGAAGATTTCTGCTTCCCATCAGATCTAGTTAAAAAAATAAAAATCTAAGTATCTAAGTCTGTTTGAGTATATATGTTATACATGTTCTAATGAGATTTTAGTTTATTACTTGCCTTAACTTTACCAAACTCTTTGCTAACAACAACAATAAAAAGTAATAATAACCATGGTAATAACCACATTTTTTAGTCTTAGACACCTACAAATATGGGTATTAACTTCTAAGTTTCAAGTGTTAATTGAATTTCAAAAATTCTGTTTCAGATCTGCATGAATCCCCCAGTTTGTCTTTCTGGCAATAATCTAAAGAAATCCTGTGGCAGATTTTTTTAAAGGGCCTTTAAGGTATTTTTTTTCTTGAAGCTTTAATTTAATAAGAATTAGAAGCATGTTAAAGTTATGCACAAGTTAAATATTGTATTGAAGGTGTTAAAAAGTCATCTTGATTCAGCAGCCATGGCCATAGAAGGGAAGGGAGTTGTTCCATTCTCTCCTCCAGCTCCCCATGTCTTTGAGGAGCAGTGCAAGGTGGGTCAGGTCATGTCAGGCAGAGGGATTAGCACCCTCGTTCTGTGATATGAAGTAATTTATTAATAGCCCAAGGACCAGAGTAACCCCCATGTTATAGAGAGGGTCAAGAAGCCCAGCAGCTCCTGACAAATTTGGTCAACATGAGAAAAGTTACCCTCCCTGTCCCAAGCTGGAGCATGGGTTTACCCATAGATATCTGACCAGGACACACCAACTGAGCTCCTCAAATTCAAGGGTGCCTAGATTCTCCAACCATCAGTGTCTGCATGACCTGGCTCCAGTGCTGCACACTGGGATGTGTCTAGAGGACTCACTTTACTTGGCTTCCACAGATGCTCTGGGATCTCCCGGAACTGGAATCTTTGAAATGTGTAGCTGGTAGAAGGATAGGGTCTACTAACATCTTTCTAAGCAGGTACTGATAGCAGGCTTAAATCTAGCAGAATTTTTTTTGTGTAGAAACTTTGCATTTTTGGAGCCAACACAGAATCGAAACAGACTTTTGTGTCCTCAGGAAAAGAGAAAACAAGTAAACAAACAGTATAAGAAGCAAACAGAAATGTTAACTTGTAGTTGGCTTGCTTGGTTAGTCACTTTCAATAGCTGCAACACAAGTGATAATCCAAGAAGGAACTGGGTCATGTGGGGTGGTCAGTGGGAAATGCTAAGGAGCTGGTACAATGTATGGATAACACACATGTGAACCACGGAGAACTGAAAAAAATTGCTTTCCCCAGTCACAGGGGCTGTAACCTGGACTTTGTTGATGGCCAAAAACGTAAGACGGTCTAGGGTGACTCAGAACATCCAAAGCAGAATGTTGGGACCCAAAGAAGGCTGGCAGACCAATGAAGCACAGGTATGTTTTTGCTGGACCATCAAAAGTCTTACCTGTTTAAGCTGTTTTTTCTTTTGTGTGTGTGTAACCCAGAATTAGGAGGCCAAAACAGTGTAAATTTACTGCAAATGAAAAGTAATTCAGTATTCTATTAGGTTGCCTAGTTACTAACGCTTCAGCTGCCTTAAGATTTAGACTCACGGCTTGCTTTCCTATCTCCAGGGCATTAGAGGATCGCAACAAGGTGAGACTGGTGGTCTCAAATATCTCTTAGAAATCAAACAACTTTTGAAGCAGAGACCCAGAGTTAAAACAAAATGTACTTTTGGTTCAGGGTTTTTCTCTATACTAGTTTTTTTTCTCTTCATTGTGGTCCCTCGTTTCCCCACCCAGACAAAATGCAACTATGACAACATGGAAATCCCCTGAGCAGCACATCTCTGATAATAAGATTGTTCAGGTTCAACCAAAATATTATGTCTGAAAAGTCTTTTTCTTTTACTTTGCTACAGCTGAAACAGGAAAAAAGAAAAAAAAAAAGATCAAAGTGATAGCCCACTCAATTATAAACAAGACAAATTTAAAGTGAGAAGGTGTAATTTCCGGAGAGCTATCAGTTTGCACAGGGGAGCCCTCCTTTATTGATATTTCTGGCTGAAAATTAGGTGGAAATTAGCCTGAGAGCTTGAGTAATAAGATATTGAATATTACTAAGCCAGGTCCTTAAATACTTACATCAACTCTCCGAAAGCCAGGGGTAAGCCTTAGGGATGTGAAGTCCCAGGACACAATCTCATTGATTCAAGTTTGTGTTCAGTGAGTTTGAGTCAAGCATAGGAAACTCAGGAGGGACAGATGATGACTAACTACTCCTAAAGTCCCACCACCTGACTCCAGCCTCTGAAAGAGGGTATTTCTTGAAGGAATATCATGTCAATGGGGGAGTGACCCCCTTCTTGGCAGTGTTGGTAGATGAGAAGCTCAACATGAGCCAACAATATGCACTTGCAGCCCAGAAAGCCAACTAAATCCTGGGCTGCATCAAAAGAAGCATCTCTAGCAGGTTGAGGGAGGTGACTCTGCCCCTCTACTCTGCTCTTGTGAGACCCCACCTGGAGTACTGTGTCCAGCTTTTGAGTCCTCAGCACAGGAAGGACATGGACCTGTTGGAATGGGCCCAGAGGAGGACCATGAAGATGCTCAGTGGGCTGAAGCACCACTCCTATGAAGACAAACTGAGACAGTTGGGGTTGTTCAGCCTGGAGAAGAGAAGGCTCCAGGGAGACCTTATTATGGCCTTTCAGCATCTGAAGGGGGCCTACAAGAAAGTTGGAGAGAGACTTTTTACAAGGACATGTATTGATAGGAGGAAAGGTAATGGCTTCAAACTAGAAGAGGTTAGATTTAGATTAGATATGAGGAAGAAATTTTCCATTATGAGGGTGGTGATACACTGAAACATGTTGCTCAGAGAAGCTATTGAGGCCCCATCCCTGGAAATATTCAAGACCAGGTTGGATGGCACTTTGAGCAAACCTAAAGCATTCAATGAGTCCCTGACGAAATAATTCTGTATGTGAATTCAAGCTCTTGAACCAGGGTCAGTCAGGCCATGGTGCTGCCATCTTCAGGAGCTCCTTGGCCCTCATGCCATGTCCAGCTCCTGCTCTGCTTTGTATGGTTGATCACTGTGGGCTGGCAGGTCCCACTCTTGTTTGTGGGTGGGAGGTATTGTAGAGGTCTGCCTGGCATACATCTGCCACCCGCCTCACCTTGGGCTCTTTTTTTGAATTCATAGAGAAAAATAAATGTATTTAGGGATTTAGATTTAATCTTTTGAATGTCTATGTTAGGATGACATGAATCATGCTTTCCTCTGGCTCGATGGGAACAAAACATGAAAAGCTCTGATACAGGAGTATACACTGTAAATACCTACATCTTGAGTAATGAACCCAAACCCACTTTTCTGTATCTGTTCAGGCTTTGTGCACTTTCAGGGAATGCTTTGTGGGGAGCCTCAGGGTCCTACCACAAGGAGGGATCTGATGCATGTATGGGAGAAGTCCATCTTCCTGGCCGCCTTGCTGAGTTCTTGTGGACGTGGTGGTTGGGGGAGGAAGTTCTTCCCATTAAAACAGGGCAGGAAATCCCAGAAACATGCCCCCTGCTCAGGGAAGCAGGTGACACTGTGGCTTCCATATTGAGTCTCCTTCTTATAGTGTCATCTTTTTTCTGTTTACTTGGGCATTTTTACCAACTTTGCCTTCGGTTTCCTTTACGCCTCCGACATAAAGATTTTTTGGTGCAGCCGGGGCTGTGCCAGGCTTGCTCTTCTCTTTCAGGTCTTCATCTCACTTGTAGTTAGCCACATCAGTCAGCTGCGTACATGGCCCTGCATTACGCTCTGGGGTGCGTTGGTGTATACAGCCACAGACGGTGTGCAAAGGAAATCATTTAACACCTCTTTATCTTCTGCTTTCTGCCTCTGCTTTGTCCAAAACCCGAAAAAAAAAGTGATACATACTGCTTTGTTCTGAGGATATAGGTTTTGCAGGATTAGTAATTTAAATCACAGCTTTTCTGGGTCAGAATTGCCTGATGTGGGACTTCATAGAATCACAGAATGGTTTGGGAGAATGGTTTGGGTTAGGAGGGACCTTTGAAGGTCACCTAGTCCAACCCCTCTGCTGTGGCCAGGGACACGTCCCACTAGATCAGGTTGTCCAAAGCCCCATCCAGCCTGGCCTTGAACACCTCCAGGGATGGGACATCCACAAAATCGGCAGCAAAAAATCCCACTGGCCAAGCCAGGAGCCCTGTCCATGAAATGTGCTCCTGACCCACTGGACTTGACCAGATTTGGCCCAATGCACCAATGGGCCTGATCCAGGAGGTCCTTAATTTTGAAGTGGGAAGCGTGTTTCAAAGTAAAAGCTCTGCAAATATCTTCACGCTGGCTTCCTGCTCTCCGCCACTAGCCATCCTTGTCGGCATGTTTACATTTCCCCTTGCCTGCGGTCTCTTTATCAGGCAATGGGTTTGTTCTGTGTCTAGTATAAAGCAAGTGAGCGCGGCTTTCACACACACACGTACTGCACACATGCAGCGTGCTCAGGATGACACAGACGAGTACAGTATTGAGCATTTTCGTCTTGTTTCTTCGCACCACTTTTGGGGAAAGTGGTTGCACCTCAGCAGATGGTGATGGTGAGTCATTTCATCTTCATCTTTCCACTCATGTATGATCTTGAAAAACCTGAGTTAAGTGCTCTGAAATGCAACTGATGAGTTAAATGTGTTACTGTTTTACAGCCTTTCTTCTAGTACCAGTACTTAAGGCAGATGTAGAGCTGGAGGACACCTATTTGATTTAATTCCCAAGTCTGTTGTGCCTGTAATGTCCAAATTTGTATGAAATGGGGGAGACCATAGCTGTATGCAGAGGGCATGCAAGATCAGACCTGTTAATCCTCCCTTGTTGTATTTGCTGTTCATGTGAGGGGCTACGCCTGGGAGTGGGGAACCGCTTCATTCTTCTGCAGTCCATGGTCACTCTGAGCTGCCATCAGAGAAGGGTGAGGTTCTGGCTTATCTTGCTCTTGGCAGATTCCTCCAAAGAAAATGTTTCAGTGTACCTCAAACTTGGCCCAAACTCTTCCACCTCAAAAGCCAAACGTTTTCTCTTTTTCTTTAAGCAATTGCACCAGGTGTATCTGCAGGATAGTCCCAGTCTCCCTAGTAGTATGGCTGAAGCAACAGCTCAACCCGGGGGATCTCACAGCCTGTCACTAAAAGTATCATCCCTTACTCAGCAAATAATTATAAATTAATTCAACAGTTTAAATTTAGGTTTCTTGCAGATTTCATTATCTCATTTAGAGAAGTAAAAATTATTTAGCATCATGAAAATAAAAAATCAAAGTATAAAGAATAGCAATAAAATCACTGTTTCAGTCTGCTGTCCCTTGAAAAACTGGATTTACACATTCCATCCCAGATCTCTTAAACAGTTTGTCTAATAATAAGCAAAGAGCAGTGACAGAGCTTGTTGCACTGAGCCTGAAGGACATGGACAGTCACTCAGCTATTGGTAGTTTTAGGGCTCTGTTGTTTGGGAGCAAAAGTAGTTTTGGTTTTCAGAAAGACATGTGTGTCCTATGCTGCATTCCTATGTTGTCTCACAGATAGCAAATCATATTTTCCCCAGTGTTTCGTGCATTATACCATGTATGGATGCACACATATGTAAATGCATACATATCTACATAGATAGGCTATGCATGGTAAGTTTTTTAGCTAGAAGACAACAGGGAGTAACTCAGAACTGCAACTAACAACCTTGTTTTCTTCTATATGCCTTTTATTTATACAATCTGCAGCTGTTAGAACCATCTTTGGCAAGCAACTACTGGTGAATGACCAATGCTAGTGATTTATCGCTGTTGTCACTGAATTTGTCAGGGCTTCCCAAAAGCAGATATTTCCTTGTTTTGTCACTACCCTCCAGTAAAGCATAATTTGCTTAGAATTAAAGACAAATAGATTCAGAAAATCCCCATTGAGCAATTAGCAGCTTTTGTGATTTCTTTATGAGTCTCATGGGTTTGGCCAATAAATAAAACAACCCAGGGTAAAATCACCTGTGGTGGATGTTTGGCTTTCTCTTGACCTTTCCAACTCACCCTGCCTCCTGGTAAAGTGCCACCAGCCAACACAGGCATGAGATCACCCCTTCTTATGGGAAGAGGAGGGAAAAGCTCATGGCAGCACTTGCCTTCATCTTCTCCTCTTTTCTAAGTAGCAGACAGCCTCTGAAGAGCTGTCACCCAGACTGACAGAGGCAGTGGAGATCCCCAAAAGACCTAAGAGAGCTACAAGAAGAGCAAAGAAGGGGCATGGGCAGGGGAAGCAAGAGACAGCAGGCACCAGGGTCTCATCATCTGGATGGCTGGCTTCAGTGGTCCTCCTACCTAGACTTTTATGGTTTGTCCAGCCCACATCAAAACTGGTAGGATTAAAACAAGTTCTGCCTGACTTCTGCCTGAATCAGATCATCACTAGAGATTTTGCATCACTCTGTCTAGGGAGACAGTCACTTTATTGACTTTGGAAATTATGACACTGATCCTGCAGATGCTTAGCAGTGCCTTTGGTTTCATGCGTTGTTGATCATCCTGGTGGCTTCAGGTCTTAAAGCTGAAGCATGTCTGTAGCCTCTGCTAATACTCTTCTCTTAGTAAAGGCTCATGAGATTCCTGCTGTGATTTGAACCATCTTGCTGGGTGTTGTCCAAACCCAAGAGACAACCATCTTTGCAAAGACCCTGCCATAGCTGTAGCTACTAGAGCAGTTTTTCTCCCAATAGAATTGACCCATCTCAAGCCCTACCTTGATTCCAGCATGCCATACTCAGGGCTCGGCCTGATCTGGGTTTCTCAAGGAAAAAAGTTGTAATCTTGTAAACCTTTAATTGTGTAATGAGTCCTTTAGCACCGTGAGTCATGTTGGAGTCATCAAAACCATTTACGTAGTGAATATTTGTGTGTGGTCGTTCTGAGGTTTAGGGAAGGAGTGTAGCTGAGACTACATGCATATTTATGGCAGACCAGAAAATTACTGTCAGCCCATGGAGGAACCATGTCCGAAAAAGCATTTCAAAATGCTTACTTAACATGATTTATGAGGTCTAATTACCATACATTCTATGGTTAGGATGCTGTTTCCATAAGTAAGGAACCACATAATCACTATGTGAAAGTTCAGTGTCAAAGGGGTAAAGTAAACTTTCCAGTGCAGCACCAAAAGCACACTACGCTGGTTAAATATTAAATAGCAAGACAAAACCTTTTTTCTTTCTTTTCATTTTGCAGTAAGCCTGCTAGAGAATGAACTAAAATTTTTGTCACTTTTCAGCGAAACATTAGCGGACAGCTGAATTACTATTTCTGATATACCATTTATTCATACAAGAATTGTCAGTTTTGCGTGTTTATGCAAAATCTGGTATATGTAGTTTGCATATACAGACAGCACCAAACAGTCTCTCCCACTTACATAAAGGAAGAGCAGTCATCCTAATTCATAAGTTTTAATGTTGAGGCATCTATGAGCATAACTAAGCTGGTCTCCTGGTAGCTGCAATCTTAGAGGCATAAAATGTGACATATCTGTGCATGTGAGCTTTGGGTGTACCTATCTATATGAAATACAGGGGTTTTTTCCATTTTATGCAGATTCATTTCAGCTTACTTGTTATCCCCTGAATTTTGAATAGACGTATATCTATATGCGCACACTTTTACCAAGAAATATATAAGTTTATGTAATATACATTGAGTGTATGCTCAGATGGCTCAGGGCTGCATTGGTCAAGACTCTTGCCTGTGTGAAACTGCTGCAGGGCTTGTTCTAGAGCTGCACTGACCTCTGTGTCTCTCTCTTGAATGTGATGGTCAAGTAGAGCAGCTTTGTACAGCACCTATTTTGTCCGTTTGTACAGGTTATCTGCTCAGAGCAGCCGCGGTGGTGGAAGACATTGCATTTCGTTGTCCCCACCAGAGCTGAGGTGAGCAGGGAAGACCAGTAATTGCTTCTTAGCACCAGTTGCTCATGATGACAAATGGCCGTTGTGTCTTAGCTCGGGAGATAGATCTGCCCCTGGGTTCTGGATTGGTGCAGCATCAGAAGCTGTCCCTCCTGCTGTCCACCACGGGTGCTGGTGGCAACAGCCTCCTTCCGATCCTTGCCCGCACTGCTTTTGGGTTTTACTCTGCATTCCTGACTCACGTCTCAATTTCTTCTCTTACTCAAAACACGATTCCAGATGCATCTCATCTCCGAGGTCGGGAGGAAGCACTGCTGATAGTAAGCCTGTGGGGTGATACTCTTTACTTGTATTTTAAAGTAGTCAAACAGCTCTCCCCTTCTTTCTCCCTGCTGTCAAACCAAGACCATTTTGGATCTTCAGGTGTGCTCCTATGCCAGACAAGGTCTGGGTCTCCCTGTATGCTGGCAGGATTGGCCAAGGATCATAGAACACCACCAGTAGAACTATGCATCAGGGTATCCAAGTAGCTGGTCACACCTCAGTGATCCGATTCACCTGGGTGAGAGCAGAGGTGACCATCCTTTTTTCTGGGAGGGATTTTCCATTCCAAATGTTTCCATGGGCATTTCCCCACACTGTTTGTGAGTTTGAGTCACTGATGTCGCTGAAGCAGCCCAGGGATCATGCTCACTGCATCAGGTGCCCCACATGGCAAGGGCATGTCTGCGGAGTGGGTAGGAGAGAACCAAGAAGGGGACCAGGTATGGTCCCTGGACATGGGGAAGAGGGTTACGTGTCCTCACAGCTACTCTTAACCACTGGTTAAAGGAGACAGAGGCATTCCTGCCCTGAGGATCCACTCAAGGTATCATGGCATAAGCCCTTTCCCTGTCCACTTGGCTACGGTGGGTGAAATTCATGAAGTGAGGCTGAACTGGCAGTTTCTGCCAGAGAGGACTCCTCTCAGAAGCATCAGGTTTTGCCTCACTGAACTCATACCTGCCAAGTGTAGGACTTGAGACGTATGCTCTTACTCAAATCGCGATTGTTTTATTAGTCATCGAAGAAAATTTGCAGGAAGCCACGCATTCTGGCAGAAAGTCTGAGCTTTCCCTCCTGAGCCCAAATTCGTGACATTTCAGAAAATTTTGCCGTTCAACCAAAGTAGGGCTTAATTGCCTCATGACACCAAAATACTCTTGCTTTCCTAAAACCACCCATACTACTTTCCAGTCTTCTCAGGAACCCAGTGACAGGCCAGACCTTCAAGCATGGGCAGGGGCCAAGCGGGGACAGGAGGACGCTGCCCAGGCACTCTCAGCTGGCTGCAACACGGCTGGTCCTGGTGCAGGTGCAGCAATGGCAACTGCCAAGCCTGCGTCCTTGGCCGTGGGTCTGCTGCTTTGGAGCTACAAGGTGTTTGAGGTACTTAGAGGCTGTCCTGAGCTGAAATTCCCATACAAATAACTCCCGTTGAAACTAGCCTTTGCTCTGGCCAGCCCCAGACACCTCTGGAGGTGACCGTGTTGGGCCAGTGTTAGCCTCGGGCATCAGCCCCAGACACCTCTGGAGGTGACCGTGTGGAGTGTATTCCCCAGTGCGTGTTTCTGTTCTGTTTATTTTCAACGGTGCCTTTGTCCTTCACTAGAACACCCTGCTTTTCAACAGGCATCATGAACATGTCTTGCTCCCAAGAATAGCGGCATTTTTTGGTTCCTAATAGGTAAGCCTGTTTGAGAAATTTCGGAGATAGTTTTCAGATGGTCCTGCTTTTATCTTGGTATAAAGTTTATCTCTAACTTTTAAACCAACAAGACCCTTGTCCCTGACTCAAACTTAGCACGAATTAAACTGCAAAGCAGACAATACATTATCTCTGCTTTATGTTTGACACTGGGACTTTTTCAGAGAGGTTTCCAGGTCGACATCAGCACTCCTTTTTGCCCATGATTAATAGAAAAGAACAGACATAGGGTGTCTCATCTGCCCAAGCCATCTGCGACACTATGTCTTTTTATAGTTCTGAGATTGGTGATGCAGAATGTACCTTCATGCATGGTAACTGAGTGGACCTCACTGACATGGAGGCAGAGCAACCTCGAAAGGTGCAAATGGCTTTTAATTTCAATTTGAACAAGCTTTATTTGCTTCTTACAAAATAGATGGGTCAACCCTCTTCATTTCAGGCAACCACGTAAAGAAACTACCTCCTATACAATGGAGCTGCAAATCAAATACACTCACAGGTTTGCTTCAATAACATCCTGCGCATCTCTCTTTAGGGACTTTTGGAGATGACGAACCAGACAATTTTGACATCAGCTGCTTCAGCCAGCTGGAATTTAAGGATTCCTATAGCAGCCTGACCTGCAATTTTACTGAGCCGCCTCTTCACAACACTAACTATACCCTGGCCCTGTGGTAAGTGCTGTCAGTCCATCCTTTGGTAAACTTCTGGAAAGCGAAACGCAAAGCACCAGTGAGTCATGGCACCGTGTGCTGGGAAACAGGAGCAGCAAAGCTAGACAAAATTCTGTTTCATAGTGTTTACCAAGTTTGAATGCTGTATTCAGCAAAGAAGAAAGCTTTACTGAAACAGAACATAACTGCCTAATTAAGGAGCTGGAAGTGCATTGTAACACCTCCAATAGTTCTGATTTTGCCTCTGTTGCTCTGAAACACCTGTAATTACAGAAGTAGCCCAGCATGAACTGTGAGCAATTTTTTCTTTAAATTAAATATTTTTAAAAAAACAAACCTAGTCTATACCAAGTGAAAAGTAAAAATGTTTTTGAAGAGGCAGATCCTTTCCACAGAAAATTCTTTGGCACAAGGACTCATTTTCCACTGCGGGGAAAGTGTCTTTATCTAGGTCAAGACAAAAATTAAGCAATTGTCTTTGCACACACAGACATGCAAATAATTATCAAACACATCAGTCATCTCCACTGCTTGTCGAGGCCTTGAAACTCTTTTCCACCTTTTTTTTTGACTGATGCAGCTAGCTGAAGAAATTCAGCTTTTGTTTCTTTAGCTTACTTCTGCTTTTCCCTTTGCCTGTTTTTCCCGAAACTGAAAGTTTTCTGGCAGCCAGCCAAAGAAATGGATTTTTTTTTTTTAATCCTTCTATTCTAATCACTAATTTTTTTTCCACCTAGTTTATTAGAATATTTCTGTTTTCCTGGATTTTGACTGAAATTTTATGGCAGTCCTCAAATATTGGAGTCACACAGATGAAGGAACACAGAGACATATTTTCACTTCTGAAACTGTGCCATATGACTCCTTCATGGCCTGTCTGACTGTTGACCCTATATTTTCTACACTGCAGTTAAATAAGAAATTTCCCTTTATCTTCAGTGAGTATTCAAACCTATTGCCCTATATTTAAAAACGGCATCAGTAACATAATTTTTAAAGATACAAGGGTTTTTAATACATACATCTCCAATTTAATAACTGTATTTTTCCTTCAAAAGCCCTAGGGCTCTTACTATGACTCATGTCACTTGATTATTGTGCTCCAAGACCATGATGGAAAATACTATCTATTTTTTTTAACTCCTTATTTGCATGGCATTTTTTCTAATTTCACATGGAGTGCCACTTCAGTTAATGTGAAATGAGCTAAATGGATTTCTTCACTTACTATGTTATAGTAAGACTGAGAAGAAATTAATCTTGTGTCACTTTGGTCAACAGTACCAAGGAAGAAAGCAATTACATGTGCTTCAACATGGAGAAACAGGAGGATGTGTATTTCTTGCAATTCACTGATATACTCTCAAATAAAGACATTTGTATGAACTCTGAGACGAAGAGAATGGTCTGCAGGAGTCTGGTTGTAACTGACATAGGTAAGACACTTTACGTTTTGGAAATTTTTAAGATATAGGTGTTACTGGGGAAAATATAGCCCAGCGCAAAGCCTTAGCATCAACCTGGATGACATAGAGGCAGTATAAAACAGTGCCCTACCAGGACATGTAGCCTCATATTGGGGTATTGACAGTGTGGTGTTCCCCCTGCTTCAAGGCATTCAAAATTCACCTCCATTCAGAACGTGGAACTGAATTCTGGCCTATCATAACACTCTGCCCAGACCTGGACGTAGACCGAATCATGCACATGGGTGAAGCAGCTGTTCCTGAGCATGGATGAGCTGTCAAGCAGGGAAATTTTGCTCATCTCTTGCTAGGGGTTGTGCAGTTTCAGGACTGACCACCTCGAGTCTAGTGTGAGCTCAATAGCACAGGGACCACAAGGTTGCAAGTTCTCACTTTTTCACATCTTGCTTCTTGGTGGAGCCTGTTGTCTGAATGAAGCACTCAGGCATCCTGCAGCACAGAAGGGACACTGAGAGGCCATGAATGGGCTCATCAAAGCCACAGTGGGGACCTGCCTAAGCCAAAAAATAGGGAACTTGGGGGAAGGAGGGGCTCCTTGGGACTTATCCCTCTTGGGAGCCAGTCTCATTCGAGGGCTGCAGAGGAGCCTGTGTAGGGCAGCTCTGTTCTGCTCTGGTGCCACCATGCTTTGCCTTCTTTGGCAATAGATACTGTGTCATCCCTCCCTTATGAAACATTTCTGCCCCAGTGCAATAGTTTTGTAATAATCTTACAATACCTCTCAGTTTATGGGCCAGCCTGGTCCATATCTAGTGGTCTCTAGAAACTGCAGGCTCTGCATGAAAGGATTAAGCATTTGTGGGTTGCAGAAGAAGTGGGCATGATTTTTGGCTGTATGCACTTTCCTGAGAGGAGAGAGGTGTGGGCTTTCTGTTCCTGTGAGAGGTGATGTGCTTTACACGGCACATTCAGGAAGGCTCAGTGGCACAGACACAGGTCCCCACAGACCTCAGGCACATCCAGCTCAGACACAGCTTGGGAAGAGTCCTGAGGGCTGCATTTTTGGACTTGAGTTACTTACACAGATGGTCATTTGACAAAGTCTGTTGCAGACCAGGTCATATGTGTGTTTATAGCAAGTGTCTGGAGCCATAGCCCTCTCTGCTATGTCTAACACTGTCATACATTGTCCCTTCCTCTGTACCCCTGCCCTGATGACCAGCGGTGGTTGTACCTGTGCCCAGTTCACTCCCAGTGCCTTCCTCCCAGAGTAGCCATGGGTTTTTACCATGGGATCTTCATCTCAGAGCACTGGTTAGAGGGACTGAATTTCAGGTCTTCAAGCAGTGCTACCTCAGGGTTGGGCATGGGAATTGATTTCAAAGACTAAATGTCACTTCCCTAGGAAGTATCAACCCTGCTATTCACATTGCTGCTCCAGCAGGTCAAACAGCAAGGCCCCTCAGGACCAAGGTGTAAGGACAAGCTGGGGCTCAGTGTGAGACTCACCCAGCTCAGGCCAACACTCATTCAAGATAGGTCACCCTGCAGGGGGTATAACTTGAAGTTGATTATTTATTTTTTTTGGACTTTTCAAAATCTGTTTATTTTGTGGTAACATTGTCCTACTCCTGTTATATCCTGGTTCGTTATCATTTGCAGTTAAGCCTGAAGTACCATTTGATATAAACATCACATACCAAAAGGAGGCAAATGAATATCTGATTCATTACAGTACACCACACTCATGGAAGAAATACTTACAGGACAAATTAATTCACCAAGTAGCCTATCGGCAGGAAGAAGGTACATGGAAGGTAAGTGATGATGTATTGGTGAGCTTACAATAATTTTCAAAATTAAATGTTAACAGAAATACCAGTGTTAAGTAAAAACCCTCAAATCTGCATTTCAACAGTTTTTCCAGCTGGAAATTTGGAAAGGTGCAGTATTTGGCATCTAGACATTTCATCAGTCAAAACCATTCCAGACCAACAGCACCCATGTCTGTTAGACACTTTTCTGGGCTAATGGGATTTCGTTCATTTGGTCTTTGCAGTGGGAAGACAAGACATCATATAATGAACCAGTCTAAGTGTCTGGACATCTTGCTCTCTGCTATGATGGTTTTGCTCTTGTTTCCTGGGTTCATCAGTCCATAACTCATACGACCCCATTTCTTATTTAGCAACAGTTTCTTCATGTCTGTTTTTTTTACTGAGCCTCTCCCGGCTTTGAGTGCAGCCGTGCAGCTCTCCCACCCTCAGACCATCTTTCGGGCTGTAGCTGCTTGTGAAATGGGTCTGTTTTGGGCTGCCCAACTGCTGACACCTTGGTGTCCCCTGTCACAGGAGCAGCCATGCAAACACCAGTCCAGATGGGAGGTGTTTGAAAAGCATGGACTGTACCTGCCTTTTACAGAGGGAACACAGGAGAAGTATAACTAGAAAAAGAAAATTACTCAGGCAGGCAAACACACTGAAATGAAGATCACCAGAGCTGCATGGTAGGATTGCAGCTTCTTTTCTGCAGCTGTTCTTTCAGAATTGTCTTTTTATGCCACACAAATTAATTTTTTCCCCTCTCTCTTCTGATTCTTCCCAGGGAAGCATGTATTTCCCACTGCAGTGTCTGTAGGAGCAAAGAACAGTTAATACTTTCAGCTGCTTTCCAAAGAGCTTTTACCTAACATTAGTCTCTCTTCTCAGTACTGTCTGGACTACCTTGCTATTAAGCTAGACTAGTGGCATGATGACCACCTGTATAATAACCAAAGACAAAGAGCAAACAGCACAGTACTGCAGGGATGTACCTGATCTTGCACACTTTGCTGAAACTCAAAGATACTTCTCCTGTGTCTGCTAGAAAAATAATTTGATTTTTTTGTGTGTGTTTAGACAATAAAGTCGCCGTACCTTCAAGTGAAATTACTGGGAAAAAACCTCGAAAATGATGCCTTGTATGAGGTGAAAGTACGTTCACAGCCCAATGGAGAATATTTTAAGGGCATGTGGAGCGAATGGAGCACTTCCAAAAGCTTCAGGACTGCAAGGGAGCAGAACTCCACAGAGAGCTGTAAGGGCAGAAACCACTTTGGTCCACCTGGAAGAAAGCAGAGCTAGGGGTTCCCAGACCCCTGTCCGGCCCTGGTGGCAGCAGTGATGAGACTATGGGGAGGGGGAGAGCCCGTGGCCACAGCAGGGTCAGCTCTCACAGGCACTGGGCAGCCCAGAGGAGATGACCCAGAAGGCAGCTGTATCACTCTGGTCTGGGGCTGACTCTCCACGTGACGTTAAATCTCCCTCAAGGGTGATAAGATCAGATGAAGGGCTGCTGTAAGGGCACAAGGCAGGCAAAGGGAGTGAAGCCTGACTCACCCCTGCTTGCTGCCTGCTGGCGTGCATGGAGAAGACGGGCTTGCACTGAGCATTTTAGATAGAGCACAAAGAGTGGGGAAACATGACCCATGTCAGGGCCCCGGATTTGTGTGCGAACATGGCACTTTAATCACAAATACGATACAGGATAAAATCTCACCATTGCACTTGTAAACATGAGTAATCCCTCTAGTCCTTGGGGTCCTTTCAGTCCCCAGGAGCACCTCAGCATTACATGAGTTCAAAGTCATGTCAGTGCTGCTATAAGGATGCGGTGAGCAGTGACTTCAACGTGCTGCAAGTGACAGGAGACTGAGCTCCTTTAATCCAACCTGGGAACCCAGCTTGGAGCTCGGCCAAGTGCTGATGCTCTGGCAGTGTTCCTTTTCCCTCCTTTAGGGAGGCAGGAGAAATGCACCACTGCACCAGTCTAATGACAGGCAAGTGCAATGCTTAGCATTAATTCCTGATTTATTGTCTGAAGAGACAGTACAGTTATGGTGGCTTAACAGAGAGACATTTAGATGCATTGGCTGATGTTCTTTATTTTTCCTTAGATAACAGTGTGGTCGTGGTTATACTCTCCATCCTGGGCTTCATGCTATCCATTCTCATGATTTTCCTGGTCGTAACTTTTTGGGAAAACAGGTAATTTAAGTCTCTTTGTATCAGAAAAAGTGTTGGAAGCTAATCCTGTTCCTAAAGTGTTGTTGTTTTCCCTGTTACACTTGTGAACTATTCTCTATCCAACTCTGGACCTCTGTATCAAGCCGAAGGCAGGCAAAGAGTAGAAGTGTAGAATACAAGAGAGGGTGTTGGCAGACAGAAGATGACCTGCCACTTTGAGCAGACTTCTGTCTTGGGCTTGAAACACTGAGACCTTTGGGGAGCTGAAGTCACCATGGAACATTTACAGAGTCGGTGTTACACTGGAGGCAAATTTGACTCAAAAACTTCAAGCAAGATCCAGAAAAGAAAGCAGCCTGGGGGTTTTTGTAAAGTCCCAAGAGGCATGGAGATGGTATACCGGGGAGATTCCCTCTTTCCCTTTCACAGGCTGAGTCAGCAGGGTGTTTGCTCTGCAGCGCTTTCGGAAGCAGCAGGGCAGAGCTCTCTGCAACAGGGGCTTGATGGCATCTGCCACCAGCCCAGCCAGGTCCACATCCAGCCTTGTGGCAAAACTGGGCTCTACATCCCCCACCAAAGCTGTCACAGCAGAAGTGGGACAGGAGATACATTCATTACACAGGCAGTCCTTTGTCTGCTTCGATTTCTTTTTTCATATCTTGTCTACACAGTCTTGTCTACAGCAGTACATAGACAGCTGTGAATATATTCTTGAATATTGAATAAGTAGTTGAAAAATTTAAGAAAATGAACAGATTTATAGATAATGTGGTGAAATGAGAATCTGAAGTGAAAAAGTCCCAAGTTTAACCATAGGAGATGAATTTTGAACTGCTGAAAAAACAGCTTTTAGACAGTGAGACTTTTTGAACACAGACACCTTTTAAAAAGCAGAGAGCTTTATACATGTGTGTGTATATACCCATATACACAGAGATAAAATATATATTCATATACATCTATAGCTATATTTGTATCACTTCGACATTGAATGTCAGTTGGGCAATATTCTTTAGATGCATCATAGCTGAGAGTTTCTAGCAGCACAATGCAAGAACTTTGCTAATCCAGGCAGTTAAAATGAGACCTGTTGGACAAGGCTACAATACATGTATCTGAAGCACAGACAGCTGGCCAAGGAGTGGGAAAACATGTAATTCTTTGACTTATGTAAACATGAAGAGGCAAATATCAGCAAATTTGCACTTTAACCACAAACCCTTTTTCACTTGCAGAAATTGGTTTCACCATGCAAAACCCTGTTAACACAGCTAGATGCAAATGAGCTTTTTGCCAGCATAATTTGCTGTTTTTTCCAGTACTTGCTGAAGCGTCTTCCTTTAAGTGACAATTCGTGCACTCAAAAGAACAATGACTATTCAGTGACCTTTATAACTCCTCTTCTCCTGTTTTTGTTTTATTCTCAGACTTCTCTGTCATTATTTTGGGTAATGCAAGCCAGCCCTAAGGCTTTGTGAGAATTAGTACAAATGATGCAATATGGTCCTCTGATATCTCAATATGTTCCTCTTTTGTCTACTGTTGAACCTCTTTTTGTCTATTGTTGCTGTTTCAGGATCAAACCTGCTGTGTGGCCAAACCTGCCTGATCATAAAAAAACTCTGGAGCAACTATGCAAGAAGCCAAAAAGTGTATGTACTTCTACTATTGTTTTCACCTACGTATAGACTATTGGGAACAAAACTAAAACTCATGAGAGACAGTACATGCAATTGCAGCATGAACTGGGACATCTTACAGAAATTACTTCTCCATTTCACTGAAGAGAGCCCACATTTGCACAGGATGATGCTAGTCAAGGGTATGGAAATAAGAGATAATTCAGCTACTGCCTGAGCTTTGGCTTGTGCAAAGTAACTACACAGGGCTAGAGAATTTATATATGAGGAAAGGTTGAAGGAATGGAACTTGTTTACAGAAAAGAGGAAGCCTAGGGCTGGGACTACTATTCACAAACTTCCAATACCAAAACTTTAGGTACGGAGATGGTAGAGGTTCTCTTGCCACAAGGCTGTGTGCAGAGGGAACAGGCACTTGTTGCTTTAGGGCAAACTTCATCTATGAGTAAGAAAATCTTTCTCCATTGTATATGTTGCCCAGAGAAGAAGTAGGTTCTCCTTTGCTGGAAATGTTCAAATCTTGGCTTGATAGGGCTTTTGGATAACCCAATCCAGGTCCTTTTTCTGGCAGAAGGTGGGACCAGCTGGACTTCAGAGGTCCCTTCCAACCAAGATGCTTTGGTGATTCTATGAAACTCTGATCATGGGGCTGGGTGGGAACCCTTTGCAAACATCTCTGGTGATGCTCATGTACTTTTACACGGCCAGTAGAATTCCTTACACACCATATGATACATGAACTGTTCTGCCAGACAAAAGCTAGATGCACAAATGTTACAAACTGTAAACTGTGGGATTAACCTGTTGCCTTAAAACTGTGTCTAGTGCATTACTTCACTAAGAAACTCATCACCACTGTTCTCTCATTCTTGGTACATTATTAGCATGTTCTTAATTTAATAAGAGGTCTAAGATTACTCTCCCACACTCTGTTCTCCCCAGTGCAGGGATTCCTGATTTGTTTCAGGAAGTTGTGGCAAACTTTTGCTTCCCTCATTGCTAATTTAGGAAGGTAAAACTGAAAGGAACTGCCTGGGTTGGCAGACTGATTCCTGTGAAATGGCAGGCAGGCGACAGATGCATGGCTCAGAAAAGCCTCTGAAACACCAGTTTCTACCACGTTGCATAGATCATAAAATGCTCTCCAGTGGTACTGCATGCAGGAGGTCACTGGATAGATTCAGATTAATGTGGAAAAGGATTTTAATCCATGTGATAGTTTATTCCCTGTTAACCTGTTGTTCAGTTTAGGGTTACTTTCAGAGTTAAAGAAATAATAAACACCCTTCTAAAATCAAATGAACTATTAAAGTACCTTTTAAGGTAATACCCACTGTTAACTGATCATGCTGTTCCCTTTGCCACACAGAATTTTGATATAAGCTTTAATGCAGAGAGTTTTGGTTACGTTCATATCCATAAAGTGGATGGCATTCGAGCAAAAGCAGAATTGGAAAATTTTCTGCAGCCATCAACCACTCCAGAGACAAACCTTTCAGAAAAATTTAGGAGCGGCTCAGAACTGAAGAAGATCACTGCGATTACAGACAAAAGCAACCAGAACCTGTCTGTGACTTATGGAGGAATCTGGCCAGCTGAAGCCCTGCACGGACTCCTGGACACCAGCCAGTTTGCAGACACCGAAGGAAACGACGGCTCCAGCACATACGAGGTGTGCCACAGCAATGGGGTGCCCCTGTGTGATGATGGTTTCAACCCTTCCTCCACTCCTCCCCCGGATCCCTCTGGCCAGCCTGGGTCAGAGCCCCTAAATGCTGATGCCACATACCAGATGACGCCTACCAGTGAAACGAGGTCACCAAACAACGAGGAAGCCTATGTCACCATGTCTAGCTTCTACAAAATTCAGTAAGCCTTAGAGGAATGATGGCGTCCCATTTTTTTTTTCTCTAACAAGCAGGACAGTGAAGCTTTCTGTTTTGTTTTTCCTGCATACCGAAAGTTGCCACCCCTGCAACGCACCCTGCTCACAGTGCAATCACAGAATCACAGAATCGCCATGGTTGGAAAGGACCTCTGAGATCACCAAGTCCAACCATATACACACAAAAAACCCCAACAATCTCGGGCACTAGAGCATGCCCTGAATAGCCACTTCTACACGTTTCTCAAATACCTACAGGGAAGGTGACTCCACCTCCTCCCTGGGCAGGCTGTTCCAGTGCCTGACCATCCTCTTAGTAAAGTAATCTTTTCTAATATCTAACCTAAATCTCTCCTGCCCCAACTTCAGACCATTTCCTCTGGTCTGGTCATTATTCCCCTGGGAGAAGAGGCCAACCCCCACCTCTCTACATCCTTCTTTCAGGTAGTTGTAGAGGGCAATGAGGCCTCCCCTCAGCCTCCTCTTCTCCAAACTAAACATGCCCAGTTCCCTCAGCCTCTCCTCCCAGGGCTTGTTCTCTAGACCCCTCACCAGCTTGGTGGCTCTCCTCTGGACATGCTCCAGCAGCTCAATGTCCTTCCTGTAATGAGGGGCCCAAAACTGAACACAGTACTCGAGGTGAGGCCTCACCAGTGCCCAATACAGAGGCACCATCACTTCCCTACTCCTGCTGGCCATGCTATTCCTGATACAAGCCAGGATGCCGTTGGCCTTCTTGGCCACCTGGGCACACTGCTGGCTTATGAATTCAACCTAAATTTAATCCTTTGATTTGATTAATCCAGAGCAATGACAATGAAGTCCTAGACAAGGATCTCAGCATGTCTTGTAAAAGTTAATGAACTCTTCTGTTAACCTCTTGGTTGCAGAGTTAAGCTCTTATTAATGCCTAAGCAAGAAATACAGCAACAAATTCAAGTTAAATAGAATCCAATCTCTTTTAAACAGCGGTAGGTCAAGAGTAACCCCTCTGCAGTCAGTGGAAGTCCACAAGTTTGCAAAATACGAGTAAACCAGAGTTGCAATCAAATCAGTTGCCTGGGGATTCAGGAGCTTGGCCACCACAAAGGTGGTTTGCTGAGTCTCCAGGGAAAAGGGCATATGAACTCACCTTAGGAAGATGTTTCTCAGGCTGGTATTATGTTTTTTTGAGAGACAGTAAAACAAAGCAAAGCCCCACATGCCACTACTTTTCAGTGGCGGTGAAGATCTACTCGAGCCAATTTAAGCATCCACAGATACTTCTCCTAGTGCTATAGGTTAAAGACCTATTTCATGTACTAGCAATATTTAGCTAAGAAAACAAAAGAAAGTCAATGAAAATCAAAGTCCCATCTCTTCCTATAAACAGAATTGGGGCTGTAAAAGGCATGATGCTGTCTTTCTTTGCAGCTCTTGTGCAAGCATTAGTGCACATGCAAATACTTTCCAGGACAAAAGGGCTGAGTGGACCATGTTTGTTTACGAGCATTATTCACAAATCTGTGACTGCATGAAAATACTTCAAATTTGGCCAGGCAGTGTTCTTCTGCGACATCTGATTTAGGAAGATGGATGGAGCGCCATGGATCCTGGCAGTGATCAGAAGACCTGTATTTTTTGCAAAATACTTTGTAAATTGCCTGGAGTAAAAAATTGCAGGTTTTGCCTTTTTTTTTTTTTTTGTTTAATTTTACATTATGATAGGGGAAGGCATCCTGTCCCTTCCCATTCACTTTTCTCTGGACTCTGTGTCCAGGTCTAAGGGGATCCTACGTGCTGCCACACAGAGATGGCTGAGCCACTTCACAGTCCCTCTGGGACACTGTGCGTTGTGGAACACCCGCTTGGAGGTAAAGCTGCTAGAGCCACATGGTTGCATGACAGCCAAGCAGTGTGGCCATGGGAACTCCAAGCCACTTTGCTGTGCTCTGAGATTGGTGTGCACCTCACTGAGCAGTCTCAGTTCCTCTAGCTGCTTGACACTCTCCTTTACTGAAATGTATTCACGTTGCCAGAGTCTAAGGGTAAAAAGAGTCCTTGCTCATCCTCAGAGCTGCTTGAATTTATTCTGACTGGTAATAATCACTGAGCTGTTGCTATATTTGATGTAGCCTGATGGAGAAAAGCAGCGCTCCCCAAACAGTGCTCCACTTTCTCCACCTCCACCTGACACCAGGGAAACCTTCAAATGGGGACAGCCTTACGGTGCCTGCATGCAAAGGGGCGAGGGTTTGGCTCAAGGCATTCCAGTGATACTTTGCAGAATTGTTTTTATTGCTGATTCTTGCTGAATGAAACACTGATTAATTAATGCATGAATGATGCCAAGATGAAAGCCATGGACATTAATTTGCCTAATAATGCTTGCATTTCTTTTTTAAAAAGAGCTGCTGGTAACGCTCATACTGTGCGGGCTTGCACAGCGCGATTGCAGATGCAGACAGACTGTGCTGGAAAGATACCCTCTTCCAGCAACACAGTGGCAATCAGAAAGGGGATAGAGGAAGAAGAAAAGCCCAACAGCAATATCCTTATACAGTATGCGCTATGCTTGTTTTGAACTCATATACACTTTTTTAAGAACTGAAAGGGACATTAAAAATGACAGATGTCTATTTGCACTATTGAGGCAGCAGGGTATCCATGTGGAATAATCTTTCTGTTTGTCTATGAAGGTGTACTGTCTTTAATACAGGAAAAGCAGAGGAAAACTCATGGTTGCTCTTTGGTACTGGAAAGTAGCACAAATCTCATTACTTTAGTGACTCTAGTTATTCTGAAATAGTTATATTTTTCTTATGTAGTAGTCATATTTTTGCATAGCTGCTAATGTTTAAACAGTCATTCTATTTTCTATGTCTTATTATCTTATTTAATTAGATAACATGTAACCTTGGTTTTATACTGTTTTTACCATATTAAAGGGACATGTCTATTTGCATGACCAATTTAAGTTCCTGTAATTCAGTCTTCTAACATACATCTATCAGGACAGGACTTACTCTACCCTCACGGAAATTAGAATAATTCTACGGTCTCTACCTAGCTTCAGGCAGGATACATCCCAAATAAATCTAGACAGCTCAGAGGCCTGAAAGCACTGTAGGATAACAGCAAGCCTGTCTCCATCACCACCACCCTGTGAGCCAGGGAAGCCTCTCTGCAAGTCTAGTCCCTGTGTTTCTGACCTGGCATGCCTCTGTTCATCCTGACTCGGATTGCCACCCAGCCCTTGTTACCCAGAAAACAGAGAGGTAACAGCTCAGGGAATCAGGTGGGTGAAGCCAGTCTCCTGCTGATGGCTCGTGCCTGCTCAGGTGACACAGAAGCTTCACCCAAGCCCCTGTGTGCAGCAGTGAGTCCACACTGCAAGCACCAGGAAAGAGAAAAACACCTCAGGCTTGTCATAGCCTGAGTATGGATACAGCAAGGCAAAGTCCCATATAAGCTGTGTCCTCAGAGATTAATACACTGCTGAATGCTGACAAATGTGCAACTGATAGAAAACAAAGCAGCCTTTCATTAATTATGTTCATCCCAATGTAGCTGTTTGTAGTGGAGGATGTAGGCTAACTCACACCAGACACAGGGGTTATTTTATTCCAGGCATAGCCGAGCTAGAAGAGTATCTTCCCAGGAGAGCAGCAGCGAGCACAGTCAAATCAAGGAGGGGTTAAAAGCATTAAGATTTCTAAAGGACCCTTACTCCCCTCCCAGAAAGAGCCCTGAAACCTGTCCATTGAACCACATCCAGCTGCTACCAAGCCAATGCCAACAGTTTGGTCTTTATGGTGGTGTTGTCAAGTCCTGTCAGGCTGAACTTTCACAAGCCCTAAGTTCCTCTGAAATAACTCTCTTTGGGGATTAGGCTTCTCGGAAGCACGCAGAGGTTAGCAGTCTCCTTCAGCTTTGAGAATCTGGCCTGAATGGTGGAAGCTAAATCTCTTGGAAAAATTGGTCCCTAACTGTTTTGCAGGTGATGAGTACCAATAATTAAGCAGTCTTAGTATCAGCATCCCTGAACATCATACGTGGTTTTAGAGCCATCAATCTAAATTTGATGGGTGTATACAGATTTAAAAATTTTCAGCTTCCTTTTAGAAAAAAAAACACAAATATGCACCAAAGCAAGATGCACCACAAACATTTCTGGTCCATGGCCAGCTTTTAGATGCGTAGTACATACATGAAGACAGAGCCACAGTTATGTCTTGACAACACTTCACCCAGTCAGGACCGAGTAGTTTCCTCGTAGTTCTACAAGAGTTTCCTCCATAGCTGTTCACAAATTCCCATCTGACTCAGCATCCACACTGGGGGTATAACTCATCTTTCACATACTCCATGCACCTTCTTGACTTCAGCATAACCTCCCTCCTCCACACTTTCTGCCACCCGTGCTCACACTCAGCTGCACAAATGAAAAGCTCTTGGTGACCCTGGTTTCTATGGAGCTGCTTTATCACACTGTGGCTGCAGCTGCCTGCTCCTCTCTCTGTACATAGTCATCAGGCTCTGCCAGCTCTTCTGTGCTCGTGGTACAACACAGCCACCCTCCTGTCTTTGCTTCTCCCCTCATCTATGTCATTTGCACTATCCAAACATCTCCTAGTGGCACACAAATGCTAACCCGTGAAATAAATTAAGTCTTTTGTCAGTTATAACACTGAGTCACCGTCTAACTTTAATGATGCTGAAAAACTTTAATTACCTCCCAAGGCGATATTCGTCCCCTGCTGAATTTATTAGTTTGTTTACCAAATCTTGCCCTCTGATGCATGTTCATTAGAAAGGCTGATAAAGCACACAAAAAGACTGTGTGTGTTGGTGGGGTGGTAGAAGACCAGCTAGGCATGGGGAGGTGGGGGAACCGTTTCTGCCAGAGCAAAGGGATGGTTAAATAGATGTGACGTGCAGTGAAGTCTGGGCCATGAAATAAATAGTGATAGGTTGTCCCAGCCACTGCTGCCCCAGGAACACATGGCTGAATTTGGGGAAGTTTTAGGCAGGCACAAGCTGACCCTGAAGCCATCCCTTTGGCAGCAAGGGGACCTGGGGATGCTGGCAGGGTATTTCTGCAGGGCAGGAGTTCAGCCACTTCCACGCTTCTCAGCAAAAGTGTTTATTGACTTGGAGGTTTGTATTTATACAGAAATACTGCAGCACTGCAGCCCAGGGTAAAAGAGCAGCAGGTTTTTAGTCAATACACTTTTGGCTCCAGCTAGTTATGTCTTTGCTCGGGGGCCTCTGGAGCTATCCTTCAAAACCAGCTAAAATGTTAACATAAAAGGAGATTTATCATCTCTGTGAAGCATTATTTTAGCATCAAACTGTTCCTTATTACTGTGATCATGAAGCCTCCCAAATCAGTACTCCTGTGTGTGACGGAGACACTGGCAAAACAAACCTAATGTGCAGACACACAATAAAACAACTGATGTTGGCGGGAAACGCTAATTTGTAGGGACCACCCCATCCCTCTGTTCGCTCGGCAGCTCCGGGTTTCAGAGAAGAGGCGATTCCTCGGCTTTTAAGCGCCATCTGTTGAAACACGAAGCCACTTGCCAGAGTCCAGCACCGGGACACTTGGGGGTGTCATCAAATCATGCAGCTCTGAAAACATCGCTCAGACAGGAACTGGGGGGGAAAAAAAATCAAACCCACGACAAACTAGACAGTGTTTCACTTCTTTATAGTCTCTGGTCCCAAAGAAGTTGAGGCAAATGAAAGGGTCCCTGGTCCCAAAGAAGTTGAGGCAAATGAAAGCAAAAGTTAGAGTTTCCAGGATTTCTTCATCATTAAAATGAAGTAGGCATCGCTGTCCACAGAAGCACTAACTCCAGAGTAGTAGTTCAAAAATTCATCTTTTGTAACCTAAGAATGAGAAAAACAGCTTTTATAATGTGTAACGCCTATACTGTGGCCCAAAGCAAGACGTTTATGTAACATGATGCATTCTTTGCATCTTCCAGATAAGTCTGATTTTTAAATCAGACTGACCATCCTCTGACATTAGGATGGAGCACCTCTCCTGTGAAGACAGGCTGAGGGAGCTGGGATTGTTCAGCCTGGAGAAGAGAAGGCTCCGGGGAGGCCTTATAGCGGCCTTTCAATACCTGAAGGGGGCCTATAGAAGAGCTGGGGAGGGACTCTTTGCCAGGAAGGGTAATGATAGGACAAGGGGAAACGGGTTTAAATTGGAAGAAAAAAGATTCAGATTAGATCTCAGGAAGAAATTTTTTACTATGAGGGTGGTGAGGCACTGGAACAGGTTGCCCAGGGAAGTTGTGGATGCCCCATCCCTGGAGGGGTTCAAGGCCAGGCTGGATGTGGCCTTGAGCAACCTGCTCTAGTGGGAGGTGTCCCTGCCCATGGCAGGGGGGTTGGAACTCAATGATCTTTGAGGTCCCTTCCAACCCTAACCATTCTAGGATTCTATGATGTGTTGCTGCAGCAAGGTCTCACACAGCATTTGGTCCAATGACGCTGAAGTCAATGGATTGAGCTTTTTGCATTGGGAGACAGAGCTGTTGCTCTGTCCTGGAAAAATGAATATAAGAAAAGTTATTCAGGTTATTGGTAAATATTGACTGAAATAAAACAAGGAAATTAGATTATTCCAACATTAGTGCCATCATCAAATTAACGTAAAAAGTCCTAAACGTTAGTCAAGCAATAAAAAAATGACGAACAAAGTAGAAATGCATTGGTGGAAATGTCTAAAGCAATAAATCTATGCCACAAAGTCAGACCTTCTCTAAAGCAATCTACTGCTTTTTTCCAGAAAATTTACATAAGCTAAAAAACCCAAAACAAAACTCAAAAAATGAAAAAAAAAAAACCAAACAAAACCAAAAAACCAGTAAATTTTGAATGCTCAATTGTCAATTGAAAATAAATTAAGAAAAGAAGAATTGCAGCTTTTGGCAAAAATATCACATTTTCCATGAAAAAAGAATAGATTTGTATCTGGAAAATAAACACCACTTACATTTTACCACAATTTCTGCTTTTCAACAGAATACCAGGCTTGAGTTAACTTTCACAAAACATTGCACTTCTTTTCTTTCTCATATTTCCTGCTTGTCAAGATGTTCAGCAGTCTGAATCCCATCCCCATTCTCCAGCTGCAGCTCTTGTTGGGATCCGTGGCAATGCTGAAAACTGGGAGGAAGCCTGGGTCCAGGTTTCAGCAGAAACAGGGGTGCCGTACCTGGGGTTGGGTACAAACCAGCTTTTGCTACAGTGCTACAGTGCTCCCACCTCCTGCAGCCCCCGTTGGTGTGACAGCTGAAGAGGTGATGGAGCCAAAACCAAACTGGAGAAAACCAGCATGGTCAGGGGCGGCTTGAAGTACAGGAAGGCTGCTCTCAGCCACCTGAGGACTTGGCGTTAAGTCCAGCCCACTAGGAAACCTGCTTTCTGCTCACCCCTTCCTCCTGAGCTGGCTATGAGAAAGGGTTTCTAGAGAACCAGGATGGGGATCTGAGCAACAATCATAGAAAGTGGGCAGCTGCCAAGGGCGTCGGGCTGCTCTCGGTGTTATCTCTTCTACCAGGGGAAGTGGAGCCTGATGGTGCTGCTGCTGCTCCCGGTGGGGAGGACAGGATCTGGGAGGCAAAACTAACCCAAAATCACCAGGCTGGCTCCTTCTGCCAGCCAGTGACAGCAGAGGCCACGAGCCCAGCCCCGGGACGGCAAAGCTCTGCTCTCCCCACGCAGCTGCAGAGGTTTGAGGCAGTTCTGCGTAAAAGCTGTAACACAAAGCCACGTCGGCTTTTACACGGCAACGTGCGCAGGTGGTTTCATCTGCAGAAACCTCCATCTGCCTCTGCCAAGACAGCTTTGTGCCAGGAGACCAACAAAATGAATCAGAGCACTGAGTACACCTTCTGGTCTAATTTCAAGAATACGTGCCAGGGAGTGGGGCTTGCATTAAAACTCAGTTGCTTGAACCAGAAATCTATGCTGCAGGAGAATGCGTGAGTCAAACGACAATTCTGGACTGTATCAAGCCAAAAATTTCCTCTCCAGGATTAAAACATAAAGCCACAAAAAGCACACAAGGGGCAAAACTCAAATGCAGTAAAGGATGCTGCAGGAGTGCTGCTTCTCCTCGGGGAAGACCACAGAGGGAGATGCTGTCCCCTGCCTTTCCACCCCCATGCCTTGTGCTCTTTTTGGGGAGCATCACAGAGATGCTCTGATGGCTCATGTAGAGGTGGGGAGGACTTTTGGGGGAGGTATAAGGGAGCCTTTTCACTCTGTGAGGGACCATAGGGCTCCACCAGCAACTTTGGAGCAAGCTGCGGTGCTGCCTGGCCAGGAGGGCAGCTCCGTCCCCACAAGGGCAGGCTGGAGCTCAAAGTGCAGGCAGAACCTTCGCCTCTGGTGTTGGCCCACAGCCCTGCAGACTCAGATGTTCCTATGGTTTGTGCCATCCTGTTTAGCGTCTGTTGCACAATCAGAAAGAAGAAATAGTGCTTCGAACATGAAGCACCAACCAAGATCTGACAATCTTGATGCTAGCGCCAGATACGATCGCGTGCATTGCCACCTATCTCCCAGTATCTGCCGCGTGTGCAGTGCAACCACAGGCTGGCAGGACAGCCTGCATCACCATCTATCTCCAGCATCTGCTGGGTTTGTAACCAGCAGACAGCAGCCAGCAGCTGAAGATGAGCTCTTTAACTTCAGTTTTGGCTCTTCCAGATCGCAGGGCAGCAGCCCCTGCAACAGACAGAGAAGCTGAAGTGCTAAAGGGCAGCCTTGGGCACCTGATATTCCTTCATGTCTGGTTCGAGTCCCTTTAACTTGCCCTTAGCCTCTGCAAAGTGCTTCCGCTGAATCTGAGGGGTGTGTGCCCAGTGTGTCATTATGGCTGCACGTCTCCTAGTTGAGATTTTCCTGCCTAGCCATCCATGCAATGCCTGTGTTTGTCCCATGAATTTGCAGGCACGTTAATCAAATGACATTGCTTACTGCACAGACTCCAGTTTGTGCTCTATGACATGTAGAACAAGCGAGAAATCACATTTTATTCTTTCCCAGATCATTTCTTTTTCCCAAAAGAAAGCACTGTAGGTTTTGGGGGTTTTTTTTGCAGTTACCAGTTTTTACTCAGATCTCTCCAGGAGCAACTCTGCTCCCGCAGAAGTCAAAGGAAACATTGCCACCGACTTTGCAGGAATCTGCAACCAGCCCTTGGAAACATGCTCCATACAAATTTTGAAATGACTACTATGTGGAAAACGTCCTCCGCATGCTGAGAAACTCATCCAGTAGCAATGAGGTCCACACACGGGCAGACCTGAGGAGCCAGGAGCTGCTCTGAGGGTGCTGGGGGTGTATTGCCTGAGGCTCTTGCCCATAGGGTGGGCACTGAGCCCTCCCACCAGGGAAAGTGGGCTTGAGTTCTCTTGGCTCACGTCCTTCAGGTCCCCACACACAACCCCGGCAGTCAAGTTCAGTGCAGAAAGCCCACCCTGGAGCACTCAGCTTTTCCTCAGGCACCCAGAGGCCAGTGTCAAAGCTTCTGCTGGTTTTAAAAAAGCATAGTTGCTTCCAAAAGTTGCCCCTCCCTTCTGAAAAGGCATACTGCACTTGGGATTAAGTCAAATTGAAAAGGGTTAGCACTTAAAAGGCAAACTGGTTGCAGTTATTCAGATTAAAACTTCCACTGCACTTGATTAAACTTCAGCACAACAGATCAACTGCGCGGTCTGAGGACAAGAGATAGTGTGTCAAAAGGAAATAGGTTTTTTTCATTTTGTGACTCCCACAGTCCATTCACATAACTTTCTTTTTATTTGAAACACAGAAAACAGATAACACAACACACTGTTGTGGAGCCAATTAATAAGTTGGAAAGAAAAAGATTATACTCAAGCTGCCAGAACATGTACAGCCTCTATTTGACAGTAAGTTTGTTTTTCATCTAAGGTATGTTGGCACTTCTGTAGCATCGCAGTAAGTAAAGGCTCCTCTTATGATTGCTGGCAATCACAGAGATTCTTTCCATCAGTTTCCAGTGTCAGCCAGTGCGCAAATTTCTGTAGGCTTACAGAACAAAGAAAAATTGAGTTTGCACAGCCCTTATTAAGGAATTGCAAGCAACTGTTACTTGAACTGATATCATGGCTGGAAAAAAACAAAAGTGGCGTTTGCAGAGGACCAGAGCAGCAAGCACCCAGGACTTCAATGTTTGAACTGTCAGCAGCCCAGGCTGAGTGCAAGCTGAGAGTTCATCAGTCAAGCTCTTTTGAAAGTCCAGTCTATAAGCCCAAACTGCTTTAGCCAGCTGCCAGCCCGAAGCAGAGCTAACGCTGCTGTACACGAGCCATTTACTCCACTACAGCAGCAGCATCTCAGTCTGGGAGAGCAGCACAACGATGCCAGAGAAGCAGAAAGAAGAAGATGAAAATAAAAGGGGTCAAGGCAGGAATAATGAGACAGCACACACACAACCTCTTCTTATTTATTTCTTTTTTCTTTCTTCTTTTTTTTCTCCAGTTTCCTTTGTGCGCCATTTCCCCACTCTCAGTACAGGGAAAGGACAGAAGATCTTAGAACTGAGACTGCCTCATTGGTGTGACCAGGAGGGCAGGTTCCCATCCTTTTTTCAGCATCAGAAACAGAAAATGACAAGACAAGAAACTTACGAGTTCTGGAGTTCCCAGAAAGTTCCCTGAAGTCATAGCTCGGTCATAAACCAGAATAAATAAAAACGTTAATAAGCAACTTTCAGTGTAGCTGTGTACAGGCAACAGCGACCAGACAAATAAATGTTCCAGGAACAGTAAGAAGAAAATACTGTAACACACGGATGCCCTTTAAAGAAAAATATTACTGAGATGATCTCACAGTACAAAAAGAAAGAAATCAAAAAGGGTAAAAAAGCTATAAGCGGGCCCACAGAGGTTTGAAAGAAGGCACACAAAGGAAAGATGACTGTATGCTGAGTTGTAAGCTGGAGAGAAAACCGGGCTTTAAAGAGCATTTTGTATTTATTCTGGTCTGTGTCTTCTCTTCTTGAATTGTTTCTCCCTCCAGCCTCCCAGCATTGGGAACTCGCACATTCCCAGCAGAGAGCTGAGCAGTTGCTCCCACCCCACAAGTGAGACCCGAGAAGCCAAGAAGCTGCAGTGCTACAGGCAAGATGACCCTCCTGGGATAGGCTTCCTCATGTTTGCAACAGTCTGCCCCACACCACCACCCTTCCAGAATATTTCAGTTTCTTCCTCTTGCATCCTCTGTCGAACAGAATTGTATCTAATGCTAGAGGAGGGGATACAGGGACCTACCACAGATGTCTGAGATGAAAGGAGCAGCCGTCTCAGAAAAGAAAAGATACATCAGGGATGCAGGGAAAAAAGGGACAGATCTGCTGAGTGGCTGGGTGCCAGATATGCTCTCTGATTATGCTCCGATCCCCTGAGGCTGAGCCTACCAAAGCATCTGGGAATTAATTCTGCAGATTGACTGTAATTGGCACAGTTACTGGAAGCTGTTATTACGGAAAACGAGTGTTTTGTTGTGCATATGCTTAAGCATGGGAACCTACAAAAAGTGGAAGTAAAGTCTTTCTCCTTTCAGAGTTTCCAAGCATTCTTCATCATGATGATAAAATAGACATCTGTGTCTATTGAAGCGCTGACTCCTGCATAGTAGTTCATGAATTCTTCTGTTGTCACCTGAGACAGAAGGATTTAAAGTAAGAAAATGAACCTTTATTTTTTTAATGCTATGGTAAGTCAAAACCACAGATTGAGAAGAACTCTAAATGAAACTTAACATCTGCTGTTTCACATTGTTGCTAGTGAAAACAAATCCACCAGAAAGAATGAAGACACTGAAAATTTGTGCAAGTTCACTTCTTTGCTAGAAATAAGAGCTCTTGTCCTCCAGGAACACTTGGATGGAAATGAAACATGCAGAGTTAAACCAATCTTACCAGGAACTGAAGTTAAAATCAGTGCTGCTCAAGAAGACAAATGTTTTAATGAATTTTTTTTCCTATAATCTGATTCTTTGCATTATTATTAATGAAAGTGGTTTCTAGTGCAACCTAGAGATAGCTACGAGCTTTATACCCATTCACTAGAGAGAAAATATCATTGTTCTAAAGAGGTCTCACTTAAAGAAGTAAACATTCTTTCAAATACATAAGAGTTTTGAATATCTTTCATGGGTATTTTGAGGTTGACTCGGTTTTAAAATGACCATTTAAAATATGATAATCAGATACAAGCAGTACATGTCTCTTGTTATGCCTTAACCTTGAGCTGTATAAGTCATTCTTTGAATAAGTATCACAGAAAAACATTTTCTCCTACTGCATTGTGCATTTGAGAGCTAAATACAATGTGACAGTAAGGGGAAGTGAACCCTGTAGCCTGTCCTACCATCTGGAACTGATTACATGTTTTGTTGACCCTGACTTTTTCAGAAGCACCCGGCAAGATCGCAGTGAAGAGGACCTTTCCAGCAGATGCTTAGCTTTGAGGCATTTCTGCTAAAAGCATTTTAGGTCTTCAGCTCATACCAGAGTCATTAGTGACCTCTGATTCAGGCACAGGAAAGTCAAAGTAATTTCTCAGAAGAAACTGCAATTGGGTGGGCTCATGATTGCTGAGCAAGAGCTGGCTGCTGAGAGTAACTTTTCTACAAGCTCAAACACTGTAGTGTTTGTAAGCACACAAGGCACAGAACTTGCCAAGAATCATTCTGGAGACTCAATTTATTTGTTCGTGTATGACCTCATCAGAAAAAGCAGGAACACTTTGCTTGAGGTTTGCTAGATGTCACCACTGTTGCAGAGAAGGAAGGGGACAACTCACACAACTGATACCTCTGCGGATGACACAACAGAAAAAAGGGTGGAATTCGGCTCTACCCAGTGCAAAGTCATGCCCAAGGGAAACAAAAACCATGATCTCCCTACACACTGAGAACCTGCCTGTTGGAAACAAAGCAAGGATTTGTTGTAGTCAGCCATTAGACAGGTAGAAGTCACGAGTGCAGTGCAGCCGTGAAACCCCAGGTGCAACCTCAGAAGTGCAAAGTGTTCAAGACATTCCACATAGCGCTGATGAAACCTGATGTAGTTTGTTGTTATTAACAGCTTGGACTATCGCCATGTGAACAGCAGAGATCCACAATTGCTCTGAGTTGGTCAAACACATGTAGGTTGAGACCAAATAAGGTTGCAGACACGTAGCAAAGGGAAGCAAATTATGCTTGAACTCAGAGAGGGCTACAAAGGGATGCATAAGAAGTCCACCACAGAGGGTTTCCACCTGCACCTGACAGCCGAGGCAGAGGACGAGAAGGGCTCCGAGCTCTGCCCCAAAGCCAGTGAGTGGCTCTGCAGGGCATACGGCTGGTGGCAGCTCCCTCAAGCCTCTCCCTCCCTCCAGCTCTCTGTGGATAAATCTGTCTCTGGTATGGAGTGATTTCCAAGTCAAGTGTCTCACCAGGAAGTGCTAACTGTAAAGTAATTCACATATTAGGGAACCTGCTTTTGAACCGGATTCTGGTATTTATTCTCCCGAGAAGTGAATAATCCTCCAATTTATGTGGCTTTTGAAAATCAGCAATCGTGTGGGCGAGTCTGAAGATATACTTAACAGTAACCTATGAAAGCAGAGCATTATGGCTAAAAGCCACATCTACCGTTGCACCTCCTGCAGAGCCCCATTGCCCCTGAATGTGAAAGCAAGCTGGGCCAACAGTCCCACACAGAGGGTATGCACCCATTTTACTTTTTAAATGTGCTACAAATGCGTGTTTGGTAGTGCGATCACTCACATTGCATAATTTAAGTCAAATGCTGAGTCACGTGGTGATTTCATGGCTTGACATTAGGTGTTTCACTTACCTTCCCATCTTTGTCATAGGGTGAGTCAAAATTATCCAGAAAGGCCCTAAAAACTTGATCTTCTGTCCAGTCTCCATTCTGGTATTTGGGGTGATGCTTTGCATTGTACACCCCCCGTAAGTCTTCAATTGTTATGACTCCATCTCCAGTCTTATCTAACTTCCTAAACGCCTGCATGATAATCTCTTTTCTTGCTTTCGACATGGGAGGCTGTAAGGAAATATTCACAGAATCACTGTATTTCTGCCAACTACTTGCCCAATTCTAAATTTAACTAACTGTTGTTAATAATAGTAAAACTACTTCAAGGTACTTGAGAAAACTGTTGACAGTCTACACTGCCCATGAGCTAGGAAGGGCTATATATCACCAAAAAAGCAGTGGGATTGGGACTATTGGATATCAATATGATAGTAAATGGACAATGAGAGAGAAAATGCTACCTAGAACACTTTTTTGTTCTATTATTTTATTTATTTATTATATTATTTTTATTATTTTATTTTATTGCAGAGCAAAGAAGCTCCAACCAAAATCAGTCACACTGCGGTTCATTAGGGAGAGCCATCACAGGACTAGTTCATTTTATCAGGATATGCATTATAAAATGATGAACAAAGATGTGAGTTCAATGGACTGAACCACGTAGGTAACCGGACTGCAATATAGGAATTTAGGTACCTAAATCGAGGCAGCAATTCATGTAAAAAAGCCCCAAAGCCATGATTTATTTGCAGCTATTCTTTTCTATTCTTCTATTCTATTCTATTCTATTCTATTCTGTTCTGTTCTGTTCTGTTCTGTTCTGTTCTGTTCTGTTCTGTTCTGTTCTGTTCTGTTCTGTTCTGTTCTGTTCTGTTCTGTTCTGTTCTGTTCTGTTCTGTTCTGTTCTGTTCTGTTCTGTTCTGTTCTGTTCTGTTCTGTTCTGTTCTGTTCTGTTCTGTTCTGTTCTGTTCTGTTCTGTTCTGTTCTGTTCTGTTCTGTTCTGTTCTGTTCTGTTCTGTTCTGTTCTGTTCTGTTCTGTTCTGTTCTGTTCTGTTCTGTTCTGTTCTGTTCTGTTCTGTTCTGTTCTGTTCTGTTCTGTTCTGTTCTGTTCTGTTCTAATTTGCAAGGAGACTTATGCCTTGCCAATAAATTTCAGATACATGTTGGCTTCTGAGCTTTCTCATTCACAGAAGTGATAGGTTTAGGGTGATTTTTCCCATTAGCACATTTAGATGGAAATAGATTATTTTAACTTCTTAAGGGTAACTGCTTTTTTTTTTTTGTTAATTTCGCTAATTACTAAGGTGAACACCAGTGCTGTGTTTCGTGTTCAGCTAATGACAAATAAAGGCTTTTTCTCCATTTACTGCATCAATAACATAAATTCCCAGACTTACTCTCAGTGTAACAAGAAATTCATCAAAATCAATTGTGCCGCTCCCATCTTTATCAAATATCCGGAAAATCTCTTGTGCTTCTTCCTTGTCTATCATCATAGCATAATCATTTAATCCTTTCACAAACTCCTTGAAATCAAGGGTTCTGCTGTTGTCATCATCCATAATCCGAAATACTCTGTGGAAAATGTGCAATTTGAGGAGAATGCATAGGAAAACTTTGGGAATGCTGCAGTGGTTTAGCACAGTACCTGAGCACAGGGACAACTTCCTGAGATAAGATTTCCCTCTTGTACAGCCTTCTGAGAAAAAAGCAAGAGAAGGTGGTGGGGGCCGGGCAGAAGGAGGGCAGGAGGCATGGGACAACAAAAAACCATAACCCACACATTTACTGACAGCAGAGGTGATTTGCTTAGATTGGGTGCCTGAATATTACACACCTGACGTTAAATGAGGTGAAGGCTGCCTTACCTGAAGGAGTCTTCCTACTCATTATACATAGAGCCACCTAAAAGTTAAGCAAGTAGATCAAGTTCCAGCTGGTCAACTAGGATTCCTGTGTGGATTACAGGGCTCAGGAGGGGTTTCAATCTTGTGGTCCAGCTCCCTTTTTCTAGGGGTGGTGTGACCCACACTCTCAAGGTGACTGCAGAAGCTTCCCATAGATTAGACAGCTAATAGATCATGATACACAAGGGAATCACATCCCAAAGGAAAGGAAGCACAAAATCCCCACTATTGAGATACTTCATAATAGAAACTACCAAAGAGAGAGATATGTTTTTTGTTCTCTCCCTCTCACCATCAGGATTTGTTCTGGGTCTCAAGAAAGCACCTTCCTCTGAGGGATTCACAGTCCTTCACCGAACAAGCAGGTCAGTCCTGCCTCCCAAAACACAGGATTCCCAAGCCCAGGCTCTGTGAGTTGTGGCATTTGCATTAGAATCAGACAACTCGAGTTTGAACCCTGCTTATCTTATGAGCCTCTTGGAGATAAAAACGTTATGCTGAATAATGCATTTAACTTCTTAGACTCACCTGCCGAGTCCTTTGATGCCTGCAGATCCCCTTGCTAAACACTGCAGGCGAAGTCTTTCCACGGGGTCGGTGGTTTTGGACAGGTTTTTCTTGGCCTGGATTGCCATCTCTCGGTCATGCCTCGCTGTGCCCGGCATCTGGAAGACCAAAGCACTCATACGGCGTGGATTCACATCCATGAGGCAGAGTGCTGAAACCTGCCTTACTATATGGAGCTTCCCAAATCCCTCCCTTGGAAGGTACTGGCAACTCTCTCACAAGGACTCATTTTGACTCTCTGTTTCTTTTCCCTTACAATGTTCTATCAGAAGGGGATATTGCCAATACAGGCCACCAACCCTGCAAGGAGACCTCAGCCATCCCCCCTGTGATTAATCCGGATACAAATATGAAAGTGTGGGTGAGAATTTGCTGCACACAGTGAAAACAGGTGGAGGGCACCCAGGAGAGCGCTGCTGCCACTGCACCCCCAGCAGCCCTGCAGAGCCTCCTCAGCCTGGCCAGGTCTGCCATCGGTGGTCCCCACAGGTAGAGTTGTGAGAGTAAAAATTGTTCTGACTCATAGGGCACTCTGTGCTCTGCTGAGGGTGCACAGGGACAGGGAGATGAAGAAGATGGGCAGCTCTGGGAGGAGGCATCATCAGTGCACATTGCAATTCCAGTCTCACTATCATTGCTTGTGCAGCTGTGTGAATTGAAGTAGCCAGAAAAAAACTTCTGAGAAATGTGGAATTAAACAGTTTCATCTATGCTGCTCTGCTCCAGTCTACAGAGCATTGGCTATGGCAGCTGGTAACGTCATCTGTGTTGACTTTTGCAACCCCTTCAGACAACACCAGCTGGGATTGGAGAAACAGAAAAATAGTAAGTTTTTGTTCCCCCAAAATGGTTTCAGCACTAGCATATTGAAGAAGTCCACCATGGCAGAATTTCACCTTTTGTTTCAGCCAGAATGAGCGAAGTTCTTCTGGGAACTCATTAACGGGTGACCAGAAAGACCTTACAGCTATGTAAGACCAGCAGTCAAAAATGTTCTTTGCAACCACCCACATGCCTTAAGGGGAGATGCTTAGCTGGCGAGAATATAAAATACAGTGAGGTTACATAAACACAATGTAAGCTACACTTACATTATATAATTATGTACTATAGCATTATATATAATGCCTATGTATTTGCATACAGACTGCATATTGCAAGCATAGCACTGCACATTAAGTTTCTATACTATATCATGCATTTATACAGATCTATAAATATTATGCAACCATAACCTGAGACCAACATTGACACATTTCATCTCCACTGCACGCTACAAAAATCTACATAAATGCACACTGTGAAAAGAAGGCAGGAGCTCTTCACCTCAGGCTCAGCGTTTCCATGTACTGCAACATGCATCAAATAATCGTTGCAGCAAGACTCGTGAATTGAGGCTAAGGAGGGATCATCTGACAGGGTTTCTATTATGATCTCCTGTAACTCAATAAAAGACACTGAAACTGGCCATCCTCAGTTATCTCTGCAGTAAGTACACAGTTTGCTTCTGCACCTAGAACCTTTTCCAGCTGAGAACTCACCATCTCTAGGCTAAGTTTTTCCAGTATGGAATCTCTTTCTTTCTTCCTAGTGTGAATTTCCCCCATCTTTAGATGCTGTTTTACTTTCTTTAATTAGATGAAAGATTCTAGGCCCCCTTCAAACACTCTTTGCCAAATAATTAGACACAGCTTAGGACTCTCACTACAAAATGAGTTTCCAGATGATAGATAATTCTGCTCTTGTTCCTGAACTTTTCCAATTTTTTTCCAGTATTCCTTCTGAGGTGGGACAGAGCTCTCCAATAATCTCATTAATGCCACAGGCAGAGATAAGGTAATTTTTTCACCATGCATCACAGTTGAAAACACTAACAGTAAATACTTCTGCTGCTCCTTGCAAATCTACATTCTCTAAAACAGTCAATAACAAAATTACCATCACCATGGTGTTACATAAAACTGAGAAAATACAGTCTGTTTATAAAGAGATTGCACTTAAATGACACACTTCACTAAAGCCTCTTAAACATGACCTGGCTTCTTGTGTCACACAGCAGTACGCATCTGAGAATCCTTTCTATACATGCTAGAAATACAAGAAAACAAATTAAATATAAGCCCTAGTTCACATGAGTCTGGTCCAATTAACTTGTCTACCACTTGCCAATTTCTGTTGGCTGCTAGTTTAAGTTAGAGATAAACCCTTCCAAAGCTGTTAAAAGACTATACTGCACTGTAAGAAAATGTGTAAGTAAACAGATTCTGAATCACAGCAACAATGGAGGAATCACAGTGATCCACCTACTCTCTTCTCTCCTTTCATTTTGCTTTTGCCCCTTTTTGGATAACATGAAGTAACTAGAGATACAGTCAGGATTAACTGAGTATAACAGTTCTCTGTTATATTCATAACGAAGTTGCTATGCATTAATAATCATTAGTAAAACAAGAAAAGATCCTAACTATAATTTTGTGTGTTTTTAATTCTTGTATCTCTTCCAAGATCATCAGAAGTTTCCCACAGTAAAATGGAAAAGGGGCTGGTTAATTTAATTCTGAACACCAGAGAGTTCTGTTTTGTGTAACAGCCTGGGCTATGAGCAATTCCAATTCCATATTCTCAGCATTGTTTGTTTCTATGGGCCATGTTGTGTTGTGTAAGCTGAGGAGAAATGATTGCATTTGTTCTTAACAAATACAAAACCTGAAATTTCAGGCTGGGTTTTTCCAGAAAAACCTTAGGCTGTTCAGCAACCAAATCCCTTTGCATTCTTCTAAGCCCAAGGCTTAAACCTGGAAAGAGCCGGATGTAATCTAGGCTCTGTTACTGCTCAGCACCATTTGTTTATACATTATCCTTCACATGAGCCCACGAGCCTCCTGTGAAAAACACCCCAATGTGGCCGACAGAAACCCACACTAGCCTCTGGATTACCATAGGCTCCTGAAAGCCCCTGTCCTGGCCAAACACACAAGTCATCCACCACCCTTGAGAGGAAGATCTCAGAGTGTGGGAACTGATTAAGAGGCCTAAACCAATTGCACGCCTTTGGGTTATTTTCCTAATAATTTCATTAAGTTATTAAAAGCATGAAAACTGTTGTCAGTATTTGGCAATGATCTAAACACCTCCCTAAAAATCTGGCTTTCCAACCCAACTGACCCCACCGTAGCAGCCTGCAGCCTCCCCTCTGCCTCCCCACCATCCCCAGTACCATCCAACTCCCATCTTCTGGCAGGTGAGGCATTAGTGCTCTTCCTGCTTTGCATATATATATAGATTTTGCACATATATATATATATATATTTTGCGTATACATATATTTTGCAAAATATATATGGAATGATATATGTATATTTAAAAAACCCTACCCTCAGCTGAACAGCAAGCTCAACTGGTAGGAGAAGCTCACTGCGAGCTAGCAAACAAGAGAGAAAATCCTTTACCTGAAATGCTATCCTGCACCTGGGGTTCCCACCCAGGACTTGGGAGGTGTCGGGGGGCTGGGACAGCGTCGTGCCCCCCCCTGCCTCCCCGCTCTCGGGCCGGGCTTGGGAGGCAAGCTGAGGGGATGCAGGGCCGTGGGCTCACTGCAGAGCTTCCTTGTCCATCTCGTTTTACTTGTTTACACACCCGGCTGCCTTGGCCCCCCCCCTTTTTTGGGAGGCCTGTAGTTTACCAGCCCGTCTCCAGGGTGACACTGGCTAGGCCCAACCTGCAGTCACGCTCCCTTCCCCTAGGCGATCGCCGCTGGGTTGCAAGAGCTCTTTTATTTAACCTCCTTTTAAATCAATGCCTGCCTTCTCCTCTTTGCCCAGACCAGCTGCCTGGGGGAGGCGGGGGTCACCTTGGGCTGCCCCTCACCCAGACGCCCCGAGATGCCTGCAGGAGGGTGCAGGAGCATCACGTCAGTGCTGGGCATGGCTACGTTTTGATAACAGGTTTCTCTGCTCCATAGTTGATCGGGTTGAAGAAACTTGGCTGGTTCAATGCTTTCCTCAAAACACAATAGGAGAAAATAAGTACAAGCCTATCAATTATCTTCCGTAGGAAAAAAAAAAAAAAAAAAAAAAAACCAAATACTCAAAAAAAACCCCCAAGTTGCCCGGGTATTTTTTTTCCCTGCTGTTTAATCTGCAGGAGGGTGCAGGAGCATCACGTCAGTGCTGGGCATGGCTACGTTTTGATAACAGGTTTCTCTGCTCCATAGTTGATCGGGTTGAAGAAACTTGGCTGGTTCAATGCTTTCCTCAAAACACAATAGGAGAAAATAAGTACAAGCCTATCAATTATCTTCCGTAAAAAAAAAAAAAAAAAAACAAAAACACACCAAATACTCAAAAAAAACCCCCAAGTTGTCCGTGTATCTTTTTTCCCTGCTGATTAATTGCCATTTTGATGACCTGCTGGTGGTGAGAACCTCTGGGGAGATGCTGAGATCGTGTTCATTTGTAGCAAGTAGAAAACTGAAAAGGTTAAACACCCGAAAGATGAGGAAAAATTGTTCCCTGTCTAGACACAGCTATTAACAGTTCTGCCTGCAGAAGGTCACAAGCATTATCAGTAACATACTGTAACACCTGGGGAAGGAATCGGTGTATTGATAGATTCCTCAGGGGTGAAAAAATAGCCTGTGTAACGCTCCCCGGCCCTCCCGGGCAGCAGCAGCCTCAAGAGGCAGGATGGGGGCTGATGGCAACAGCAGTTCCTACCCATCAGGGTGAGAGTGTGTGGGAAACGGAGAGAGGACCCGGTTCTGCCCATGAATAAAACACCAAGCAAGAATGAATAAGTGCAGGGTTTCCTGACAAGAGCAGAAAAAATAATTTTAGGCAATTACTAGAGTAATAACATTTGCATCCTGGCGGGCTGCTTATCTTTCATCGACAGGTACTTCCTGGTACTGAACTGTAGCTTGTGCAAGACTTTGTATGTGCTTTATGTCTCCCACCTGGCAACGGACTGTACATTAATGCACAAGCAGGAAACAATGCTTATTTAATCGTTCAGGGATTCAAAAATATTGACTTTGTGACAATGTAACATCCTCCCCCCTCCCCGTCCGCTATCTTTGCTTTGGAGATTGATCTCCAGAGGCCTCCTGGGATTACAGAAGAGATAAGGGGCCCTGAATATGCCCTGTGGCTGCCTGCGCAGGAGGAGCAGCCCCTGCTGTCTGCCAGCACACACGGCAGAGCTAAAACAGGGACGCACAGACTGGAGGAATAATTCTCACTGAACTACCACTTGGTCCTTGAAATTCAGCATCCCACCTGAGTAAAGCAATTCCTCAGATGGAGAATTTGCATTTGTTTTCGGAGGGGTGCATGTATATTGGAGCAGCAAGGACAGACTCTTGAAAACAAAAGAATAAGTTAATTTAACATCTGGATACTTGGCTGCCTTCTACTGCCTGTCGGGCCCTCTGCCATACGCACACGCATGCGGATGTTCAGTCCACCTTTAGCAAACTCTTCTTGAAAATGGACTGCTTCATGGTTGAGCTGGTTAATGAGTTACCAATCTGAACAATTATTAATGGGCTTTCAGGTGTCTTAGATAGCGCCAGGCTGTGATTAACTTTATTTGATTGTACCTGCTCTGTTGCCATGCACCATGCTGTGAGCAGAGCTCAGTGAATTCAGAATTTATCAGAAAGGAAACAGAGACCTCATGAGAACTTTGGAATTTCTAGTCCTCATTTTCTAACTAGCTCTGAGTACATATCTGTTTGATTTTTAGTGTTTTTTTTTTTTCAGTCTGAAGAGCTTGAACTGTCTGTTCACTTTGTGGTTCAGCACTGGACTAAATCTAAGAAAAAAAATCTATGACATCTAACATGGTCTATACACTCACGACAGAGACTGAGATCTTGTCAATTTCAGTTTCCAGAAATTCAGGTTTCTTCTTGAATATAGGCAGGAGGGAAGGTTTAAGAAATGCACCATGCCTCAAAGAGAAGAGAGAAGCCACTGGGTCTTTTGGCATAGTTTACATGCACTAGTATTGTTTCTTAATGTGCTACCTGTCGCCATCACTGCTGAGAAGTTCTCCAGCAGTGAGAAGTGCAGGTATGAACACATCTGCTCACACTTACTGGGGGAATCAGCACGGTGTTTAGTTTTCAATACCATTAAATTAGCAGGTTAAAAACAAACACACACACAAAAATGAAGTATCAGAACAGTATACACCAATGAAGACTAATTTTACGGGATAAAACTTTTGGTTTTTTCCTGCCATTAAAATTGAGAAAGTTTCACATACACCAAAAAAAGAAACCCCCATGGTAAGCAGTATTGTCAAGAGAAAAGTATTCTCATTTTTAACTCAGCTATAATCCAATTAAATTGAACTTCCAACCCTAATAAAATGCTTTTACGTCCAAAAATGCTGTCTCCCTCTGTGGCTTGTAGTACCCAGCTGAAACCAATTGTGCCCATGATTGCTCTTCGGAAGCGAGACCAGATAGCACAGGGCAAACCATGCCCGTGCTTCTGAACTCTTTCAGCAAGGGTGGTCACATCCAACCTGCCCACTGGGGACAGTCCCCTGCCCTGCTCGTTACAGAGACGCAGCTCGGTCTCCCCACGTGGGTCTGACACCACCACAGTGACCTACGGCTCATCCCTCCAGGACAAAGAGCCTTTCCAGCCCAGAAAGTCCATGGTGCTGTCAGCAGCTGCCCCAATGGATTGCTCTGCCCCACTACGCCTCTCCGGGATTCCTTACCTTTATCTTGTCTTACCTTACCTTTTCCCTTCACTCTGCAGAAGCACAAACAGATCTATTTACTCATAACACTATGTCTGCTCTTAAAGGCATGTGTCGCTTGGCAGGTTTTTTTAAGGTGATTTAAGATCAGGAACATTCCAGGAAAGGGTGTGTTATTTTGAAATATTTTTTCTTGAAAATCTACCAAAATCCTGTTTTTAGTTAGGGAGTGAAAAGTGAAAACTCTAGATACTTCAGCTTTTCAACAAGTTCAGCAACAGAACTAGATGATCTTTAAGGTCCCTTCCAACTCAAACCATTCTATGATTCTATGATTCTATGAAATGTCTATTGAAAATCAATTATTTTTACCTTGGCACCTTGAAAGAATAAAAATTAAAAAGATTTCATGCAAAGTGGAAAAAAAATGTATTTTTATTTTAATTCTTTCACATTTTGCAAAAATATCAACGGGCTTCTGTCAGCTACAGTCAAACAATGCAATGGAGGTCTGACATGCATGAAAAACTTCTGTGCTCGCCCCTCTCTCTCTCCTTCCTCCAGATAAGAAAACAATTAAACAGGCGAGCCTTTAGTAGGATCAAATACTTTTTGATGCTGAAAAGCTGTGCTGGATCACTGAAGAATGGAGGAGTTAATGATGTGAGAAACACTGACTCACATCTTAGAATTTAAAGAGGACAAAGTCACCGAAGCAAAGGTTAAAAATAATAATTTATTAATATGAAACAGCGCTGAATTGGGTGCACCAAAAATAGATGCACGATGATTTTTTATCTTTCAGGTATTTTATACTTTTATCCCGGCCGCTTGAGTTTCTGTCTCCTTTCTCATTGGCTGAGAAGTTGGAGCTCACATTCTTCCCGACCGCTTGACCTATTACAGGTTTATTTTGCACTTTTTCCCATATAAGGCACACAAACACTTATTCTACGAAATCATTATCCTAAACACGCTTTTGATTAGTTGATTATGCTACACGTTATTTCAGAGTCTTTGCTACCATCTACTTGGCAGATTTACCAGACTAGTTTCTTTGGCCTTATTGATACTCCCCTACCCTTTGGGTTTTTGTGTTGAAGGCCATGTTCCAGTTTGTTTCTCTTCACCTAGATAACGCTCTGCGAACAAGGATCCTTTGACAGACCAAGGGCATTTTTGGGGATTAATTGGATACAATGTATTAGAGTTTACTATTACTAAGGCTTCTTTGTTAGTACTATCACACTAACAATGATACATCAATTAGCTGAAGCAAAACTTAGCTTATTTCCCACAAGGAGGAACACAAAAGCAGTCTGCAGCTGAACACAAAAGCAGTCTGCAGCTTGCTGCCACAAAAACCAGAACAATCTGTCCTCGGTGAAGAGGGGAAAAAGACAGGAGCCAAAACCAAGAGAGGAGAAGCTTTCAGTTAGCTGCTCCTCAAAGCAGCGTCCCTAAAGGCTGACATAACAAAGGGATGGAACAGGCTGGGGGAATGTTGCCTGTAGTAGACGTGGTGACCTGGTTCAGGAACAGCACGGCGACCACTACCCCCAGGCCGCTGGGTCCATCGACCCGCAGACACCAATGTGTTGGACGGTAAAATGGCGTTTATTGATAAGTGACACTGCCTTATATGGCAATGGTTTACAACATCACCTCCGTCTGCTTACATCACAGCCTAAATGCTATTGGGAGAGGGGCCTTATCTTTCCATACAGCGCGAGATCTTCCGGTCACCATACCCTAACTACCACATTTCCCCCCTCCCTATGCCTAACTAAATTAGCTAAAATACAATCTTAAGTGCAAGTAAAGTGAAGTGCATTTAAGTGCATATATAAAGTGCATTAAGGTGCATATAAAGAGTAGAAAACTTAAGGTGCAGTGACTAAACCTGCTAAAATATA